CGTCGTGGAGGCCCCACTGGACGAAGGAGGATTCTTCAGCGACCCCGTCAGGCGAGCAGGCCGTTTTCTCTTCGGGCCAAGCTGGGACACCTTCATCTTGGGCGGGCGGATTGCTTTCGGCGTGGTGCTCGTCCTTTTGTGCTTGACAATGTGTGTGTGGCTGATGGAGCTCATCCAGCGGGCATGCGTCCCACTCCGTGCAGTGGCCGGTTTCCTCTGGGGCGTGTGCTGCAGCAAGGGCCAGCGTACTATACCCGTGACCACGGCCGACCAGATCAACCGTGACCCGCAGCAGGTTCAGCTCTACGGCCCGGGTCTGGAGAAGGAGCCCCCGACGAACTTCTACCGTGACCTGAAGACCGCCCTCCGCGCGGGCAACCCCCGCCACGTGGTCTTCTCCGTGGACGGCCAGGTGGCGCGCGTCCCGCTCAAGTGGAGCGACGCGCGGACGAAAGCCCACGGCCTGATCATCGACTACGACACCGTCTACGGGGCCACCTCACGGCGACTGAGGAAGGACCTGGAGAGGGCGGCCACCAAGAGGCTCCACCTCTGCCGCAAGGTGGGCCCCTGCCAGGAGTGCGAACCGTTGAAGGCCCACCTGCAGTCCTACGCGGTGGTCGCGGCCGACGCGGTGGTCGACCTCGACGACCTCGCCGAGCACACTCCGCTCGGCTGGTGCTGCGTCCGCACCTCGCGGGGCATCCGTGGGATCCCAGGCTGCGCCTGGGGCCTCGTCCGAGGCGCCGGCGGCCTCTGCTGCCTCCCCTGCTGCTGCTGCCCGCGCCGCAGGCGCAAGCCCACGACGCCCGCGGAGGAGGGCCCCAAGCCGCGCGACGAGTCGGATACCGAGGACGAGGGCATCCCCTGCATGGCTCATCGGGTGGGCTGGCGGCACGCCGAGACGGGCCGGGTCACGCTGCTGGCCCCGCGGGTGCAGCGTGGCGACAAGGCGCTCGAGGAGAACACCACGCTCCTCACTGACGACGCCCGCGTCAGCCCCCTGACCGCCGGGACGCAGCAGGAGCAGGCCCCTCTCTGTGCCCACCACGCCGCGTTGTACCAGGGGATGCGGCGTGCGCAAGGCTGCGCCAAGGCCAAGTGCAACTCCCTGGGCTACGCACGGCGCGACGGCATCATGCTGTGCAGGCCGCACTACGTCGAGAGCCAGCAGGAGAAGCGCCGGGAGGCGCAGGCCCTCCAGGAGGCACGCGACGCAGCCCTTTCCACCACCTTGGCCCACGCTGGGCCCCAGGGCACGCCGCCCCAGCCGCCGCCGCCTCAGCACGAGGGAGCAGCTCCGGGGCCCCCCTCGCCCCGTCCCCCGCAGCCCCCTCACGGTGAGGCCCCTCGGGGGGGCGGGGGCCAGTCGACCCCCCGGCTCTCCATCGCCGACCTCGTCTCCCGCCTCGACGGCGCCGACGGGGCCCCCACCAGCGCGGTGCCCTCCCCGCCGAGCGGGATGGAGTGCCTGCGGGAGTACCTCCGCGACCGCGAGCTCCACCCCGAAGAGGGAGACGCGGGCGCCCAGGAGAGGCTCCTCAACCGGTACGACTGGGACCAGACCCAGGACGTGCTGAAGGTGCTGCTGCGAGGTGCTGAGGAGTACGAACGAGATGGGGGGCGCGGTCTGCGCACGCTCGAGGGCGAGTGGCGCAGCCAGCTCCGCCGACTGCGCGACGGCTACCAGGAGGCGGAGCGCCCCACCTTGGCTCCGCTCGCACCGCAGGCCCCCCCGGGCCTCACAGCGAGCATCGCCCACCCCTTCGGTGGTGGCGCCCCCACCTGGGGCGTAGGCCCCGCGCCTGCGACGAGCCCTGCCGCCCCGCGGCCCCTGCTGCCGCCTGGCGCCCCCGCCGCCTCTGCGCCGCTGCCCTCCCTGGTCGGGCGTGGCAGGACCGACCTCTACCACAACCTGGTGGGCCCCATCCTGGCCGACGGCACGCGGCACGCCCCCCCGGGCGAGCGACGCGCTGGGGTCGGAGGGGAGATCGGCCCCACCGGCGACAGCGAGATGGCAGCCGCCCTCAAGGACATCGGACTCGGCATCGAGAGCCTCGTCAAGCACAACAGTGAGTCCAAGAGCTCCAAGGGCACGCCGCAGGGCTTAGGACGAGAGGAGACGGCCCTCGTCTTCCTCGCGCGGGCCTGCAACCGCTTCAACGTCCAGGTCTGCCCCTCCTACACAGGCACGCCCCTCTACCAGGCCATCAAGGAGGCCTTCGTCACATCGAAGGGCGAGCTCTCGGGCCTCGGTTGGCCCACCTGCGTCACATCACGCCTCGCCCTCGGACTCGCGGGCCTGTACTTCGGCGCACGGGACCAGCACTCACTTCTACCACACTACTTGAGCGTGGCGGACTTCCCTAAGCACTCCCAGGAGGAGCACGACAACCACGTAGTCCCCCAGGACGACCGCCTCGAGGCCCGCCCCCGGGCTCCCGCTACGCTGGCCCAGTGGGTGAAGCAGGCGCAGAACCACGCCAGATGCTTCGCGCTGATCTACGGTTGGGAGCACTACCAGGAACGAGCCGACGCCATCGAGAAGCTGGAGAAGCTGGCCGAGGAGGACTCCGACGTCTTTCCCCGCGAGCGCATCTACGGCTGGTTCGAGGAGCTCAACTGGCGCTGGCGCGAGGATCTCAAGGACGTGCACCGCCAGCTCCTTCGGATATCAGGCAAGGAGTGGCTACGCAAGGAGCAGCTCGAGTTCATGGCCCTCACGCCAGACAGTGACGGCAACCCTCTCCTGCGCATGCCGACTTGTTTCAAGCTCGACCTGGAGGACGCCTGGTTCAGGAAGACCATCTTGCCACACCTGGAGCGGCAGCACAGCCGGACACTCTGGCGACTCACGCACAAGGCCCTGAAGGCACCAGGAGATGCTCGAGGCGCAGGTGCCGAACCAGGAGCCGAGGGGAGCCCCCGCAGGGCTTACCCCGCGGGCAAGCGCCTGCCACCCCGGGAGGCCGCCGAGTCGGTCACCCACGCACCCATCGATGAGGTAGCCAAGAAGCCCTACTGCTGGGGCGCAGCCACGCACTGTGGCTGCCAGCGGACAGCTGCCGAGTGCGGCCACTCGCACCGCCCTTTCAAGGGCGCCCTCCAGCAGCAGCATTGGACAGTGCAGGCCCAGCTGATACGCCGCGGGGGCTTGAAGGGTGACAAGCCCATCCCCCCGACCGAGGTCGACGGCCGCATCAAGCAGCTTCGGGAAGCCGCTCACGAGGAGGCAGCCCAGAAGGTCCGTGAAGGGGTGGCCCGCCGAGGGCAGGCAGGCCGTGGCGCCGGCGACGCCTCAGGGGCCCCCCGCGGAGCATCAGGTGGGCTCCCCCGGAGGAGCTCGTCAGCTTCGCCCCCACAGCAGCCGAGAACGAGCTCACGGAGACCTTGCGCGGCCCGGACTACGACTGGGAGCGCGACGTCGACCCCCCCGGGCCTGACACCGCGAGAGTCGTCGAGGACACCACCGCCGAGTCCCCCGAGGACGTTGGAAGGAGGCGCGAGCAGATCGCGAAGATCGCCTCGCTCCCCGAGGTAGGTCCGCTCGAGCAGTGCAGCCATCACCTCCAGTCCTACGTCAAGGGGCGCCTCCTCCATAGCTCGCTCAGGGGCGAGGACATCACCGTCGAAGGCGTGCTGGACGAGCTCGTCCGCGGAGGCCCCGCCGCGCTCGCCGAGGAGGCGGGCGACTACCTGGATCAGCTTCGGCGCGCAGGGGGGGCCCACCTTGGACCCGGCTCGGGCTACGCCGAGGTTCTGCAGCCCACCTGGCCCGCGGACGGCGGCCGCGGGATCGGTAAGCTCCTCGTGGCCGGCCTCGCGCTGGAGACGGCAGACTACCGCGACTCCATCCACGTGTCGCCTGGCCTCCGCGAGGCCCTCCAGCTCGGCGACCAGGAGCTGGAGGAGCGCCAGTGCATGGTCATCCACATCGCAGCCGGCCTCCTCGACATCGAGGCCACGAGAGGGGACGCCCAGGCGCCCGACGCCGCCTGGCCCCCTCCCACCACGGACACGCTTGCTCTCGCAGCCGACCTGAGGGAGGAGCTCTGGGCAGGGGCCTCCGAGGCCACCCGCGCCCTGGGCGAGACCCCAGAGAAGCTTGACAGAGCCGAACGTGAGGTGCGGGGCTACATACACGACGTACTCCACCCTCATCATAATAAGGACTATCGTTCGCTTTGTGCGTTCCCGCTCGAGCCCCTCAGCAACGTGATCCCCAATTTCATTCGGGTCGACTCCCTGGGGCGCGTCAACTTCGAGAGCGTGTCAGGAGCAGCGGCCAGCCCAGAGTCACCGAACTGCTGGTTGCTCATCCACCGACGGCACATGCGGCTCATCAAGCTCGGGCCCGACATCGACCGAGCCACACTGTTGGCGGACTTTGCCCAGCATGCCAGCACCTGGGGGGGCAGCCCGCCGACCGACTACGTGGCCATGGGCTGGGAGGTTCTCCTCGACCAGGCGAAGGAGTGGGCGCCCGAAGCGTTCACCCCCCAGCCCAGGACCTGCCTTTGCTGCAAGTACATCAAGAACAGGCAAGAAGACGGAGCACGTGTCGCCGGGGACGTGGCCCCCCTGGAGCCCCTCAACGACGACTACACCTTCCTGACAATCGCCGGCTGGGGCCTCCAGGCTTGGAGCCCCTACTGCAGAAAGGAGCACCCTATCCCCGAGTCCGTCACCGTCCCGGGGGACAAGCTCATCGCCCAAGAGATCATGGCGGGCACTGGGCGGTGGACTCAGGCCTGGAGGTCCCGCGGCCTGGAGGCCAGGGACCCCATCGAGTACTACGAGGATCCTCTGAGGAAGCAGGGGCCCCGCGAGGACCACAACGTGCTCCTCAAGCCGGTGCAGGACCGCCTCCTCGAGGACATCAGCAAGGGCGACGTGAACGTCATCGGTCTCGAGCCCGTGTGCACCAGCTTCTGCTCTTGGATGCGTTGCAATGGCGGGACGCGCACCATGGCCCAGCCAGAAGGCGTCGAACCCCTCCTCGCCTCCGAAGTCACAGGCAACACGATAGCGGAGTTCTCGGCGCGAGCTTTCAAGAAGGCTCTCGACATGAAGAAGTTCGCTTGGGCCGAGAACCCAGCCCCCGACGGGATCTACCCCTCTATCTGGGATACCAAGTGGTGGAGACCGCTCCTCGACCGCAAGGACGTGATGATTATCCCCTTTGATTTCTGCGAGCACGGCCACGGCCCCGAGGACGACCCCACAGCGCGCTACCGCAAGCGCACGTGGATCGTCGCCCGTGCCTCGCAGCAGTTTGCGCGCTGGATTGCCAAGCGATGCTGCGGGCAGCACCGCCACGTGTCGCTGGAAGGCCATGCTCCAGGTTCGGCAATCCGGCGCTGCCGCACCTCACAGGTCTACCCCTGGCCGTTCGTCGAGAACCTCACCCAGGGCATCCTGGCGGGCGTCTTACCAGGAGGCTTGCGCACCTCAGGGTGCGAGACTACCGATGTGCTGGACGGTGGGGAGGCCCCCCCCCTTGCTTCAATTTCGGCGAGCTCATTGGATTTGCAAGGAGGGATGGCACAGGAACCGAGGCCGCCCGACGACAGTGCGAGGCGCGTGGGCGACTCGGGGGAGGCCAGGGCGCTGATCAGGCGCTTCGCCCTCGCCTACGTCGCCTATGCCAAGGCCCAGCCGACAGGCACGGTGGACGCTTGGAGGGGAGCCGCCGCTCGAGGCGAGGCACTGGTGGAGCTGGCGGGCAGCGTGGAGGAGGGCGCCCGCGCCCTCTTCAAGGCTAGGAGCGACCTGGGCCTGGACAACCTGAAGGGCATCTTCGACTCGGACCTGGACCGCCACCTGGCCCCGGACGCGCTGCTGCACTTGCGGGACCAGGCCGGGCACGGCGTGGCCGCGAGGGACACGGGCATCAAGGTGAGAGAGGAGTGCAAGCCACATCAGAGCGCAGCTGACGTCTTGGACCAGTGCTACGAGGGCTCCTGGAAGGACGTCCACGCCGCCCGTGTCCTCGTCCTCCCCAGGCGCCGACGCGACCTCCTGCAGGGGGCCCGCTCCTCACCGCAAGGAGCGGTCCCCAAGCAGAACCCGGACAGGACGCTCTCCTTAGAGAAGAGGCTCATCCATGACCAGAGGCGCGCCAACGAGACCACGGACAAAACATGGCATCCTCCCGCGGCACAACCGTTCCATCGACAGCTCGCCAGGTTGATCGTCTGGTGGTCAGTGAAGCTACCGCGTATCCCCATACTCCTATCGAAGCTGGACGTCAAGGGGGCCTTCAAGCTGCTCTGGGTCGACCCCCAGGACGTCGGCACCTTCGCCACTGACCTCCCTTGGCACCCGGAGGCCTGCTCGGCGCCCAGGGGCCCTGAGGAGGCCCCCGCACCGCAGACGACCGACCCGGACACGCAGCTCGACCAGCAGGTGCAGCTCTGCCTGGATAGGGGCCTCGCCGAGGGCCTCACGCTCATCTCACTGGTTCTCACCTTCGGCTGGGCTGGAAGCCCAGGCGAGTGGACACCTTGGGGCGATAGCGTCGCAGCGGTCCACAGCCAGCACGCACCGGGGAACTCGGCTTGGGAGGGGCCCTTCAAGTTCCAGTCGTACATTCTCATGGACGACCTTGTCTTGGTCGAGCCCGCCCTTGGCATGCGCCCCTGGACGTCCAGATCGCTGGCCGAGAAAACCATCGAGAAGCTGCTGGGTCCAGCCGCCGTCAACCAAGACAAGAAGCACCAGGAAGGCTACTTCTCGACGAACAAGATCGTTTGGGGACTGGAGTACCGCACCGACGAGATGCAGGTGGCCATCCCCGAACCGCGGTTGTTGAAGGGCGCCTACCTACTTAGCGACACGTGCTACGACAGCGGCTACAAGGGCGCGAGGCTCCGCGACATGCAGGTGTTGAGAGGCACGGGCCCCAGCTGGATGGCGGCCATGCCGGCGCTGGCGACCGAGCTGAGAGCAGTGGACGCCTTCCTTACGCCGCAGGCCGACGGGATTCTGAGGCCCAAGGTCGAGCCGGGGGCGGAGGAAGCAGCATGGCAGGACCTGTGGGACACCTGCGAGCTACTACGACTCCTCCTCGCCCGGCCCGAGGTATGGGGGGAGCGCTTCACCGTCTCCATGTACACTCTCCTGGACGTGCGCGAGCGCCTCGCGCTGCCCGGCGAAGCAGCCAAGGTCGTCTGGGTCACCGCCGACGCCACCACGTCCGTTGCCTTCGGCGCCGACTGGACCGAGAAGATCTACCTGCGGCAGGACCTCAAGGACTACAAGGGCATGCTCGGCGAGGCCCTCGGCGACTCCGACGACAGCACTGTCGAGATCGCTCTCGGCGAGGCCATGGCCTACATCGTCCTAGCCGGGCGTCAGGGACCATCGTGGAGCGGACGCATCGTGCTCCTGGCAACGGACAACATGGCATTCACGAACTGGCTCAAGAAACGACACCCTCGACCTCGACTCGTACGCCACCTGTTTAGGATTCTGCACTACCTTGAGTGCAAGTACAACTTCATGACGATCGGCCATTTCTTCCGTACCTACCACAACGTCACGGCGGACTTCGGCTCCAGGGCCAGCCAGGAGGAGGTCAAGCGCCGCATGGACGAGCTGGGCCTCTCGAGCGACGACGCGGCGCACGAGTGGGCGGACCTCGTCGCCAACGGGGTTCGCCGCAGGGTGCTCCGCTTGCTTGGCGGCGACGCCGAAGACGGCCGGATCGCCCTCCAGCTCCGTGAGGCCCGCCTGAAGAGGAGGTTCAGAGAGGTTCCCCTCGCCACGGCCCCGGGGAGGGCCCTCGAGTGGGGCCTAGGAGCAGGTTTCTTCTCCAAGATCTGGACGGGCCTGGGGGGCACGGCGCACACCGCGCCCATCGGCGAGGACCCAGACCCCAGCGCGGGCCCCGTCTGGGCGATCCTGGCGACGCTAGGCCCAGACCCCACGGGGCGCAGCGCCTGCAAGGCGGCCAGGCAGGCCGCCCGCCTGGGCGCCCAGCGGATCGCCCTCGACGCCCCGCGGCAGCTGCCTCTGGGCGAGGCCGCTCGCAGTCTGCAGGAGCAGGGCTTCACGGTGAGCACCGAGGACCTCCTCGCGACCGAGGTCGGGGAGCTGGTGGCGCGCCGCCGTGCCCTCCTGTTGGGCACGAGGCACGTGGGCGACGAGCAGCAGGCATGGACGTTCGACACCCTCGACCTCAGGCGCCCGATTGCGCCCGCGGTCGGCCCCGTGCTGCAGCCCCCGAGCGCGCTGCCGCCCGACGCATGGCTGCTCCACGCCCGCTTCGAGGCCGACCCCCGCATGCGGAGGGCGGAGGACCGGCTCCTCCCAGTGGGCGTCGGCCACCTCTGGTCGGACAAGGGACGCGAGGTGGTCTACAGCACGGGCGGACCCCTCCCGACCATCCAGGCCGACTGGACGACACACCCACCGCCCCTGATCCGGGACTTCAAGGGCCCGGGGCACGGGGTCAGGCGCGTCACGCTGGAGGAGAGCTGGCTTGCCGTGGGTGGCACCCTAGAGGACTTCCCCACGCCCCAGGACGACGCCACGGCCGCACATGTCACGAGGCTCATCGCGGGCGACACGGGGGCTCGACTCGCCGGCGCCATCGCCCTCTGGGCGGGAGCTGCCCTTGACTGGGAAGCGAGCGCAGGCGCTTGCTTCGACCTCGACGCGCAGGCCAAGGAGCGTGGCATGCGCGAATGGCTTGCACGCTGGAGGCAGGGTCTACTGCCCGGGCGCCCGCCACCGGCCCCCCTCCCACACGCTGCACCGGGGCTACCGCCAGCACGCCCCGGCGAGCCCGGCCGCCACGCAGGCGGCAGCACCCCGGGAGAGGGGGCCGACCGCCGCCCCCCGACGCGCTGCGCCACCTTCCGCCCGGCTGACGGGGGCATCGACGCACGCGCGGCGGCTCTCGCAGCGGGCCTCGTCTGGCAGGACATGGGCGGCACCCAGGACGAGCACGACGCCGCTCGCGCTGCGGGGGCGTCAACACTGCCCGAGATCGCCAGGCCCCCTCGCAAGCAGAAGATGCCCCAGCTGGGACTTGTCTCCATTTCGGCCCCCGAGCACCTCGTCGACCTGGCGCCGGACGTCCCGGTGTTCGCAGAGGTCCAGGAGTGGGTCCACAAGAAGTTGGCCAGCGGGCTGGCGCACAGCACCCGCACCAGCTACGGCGAGGCCTGGTCCAAGTGGCTCTGGTGGTGCACCCGCAGGGGTATCCCGCCGCTGTTCGAGGGCGACTCCAAGAGGCAGGTGACCGAGGACGAGGAGGAGCTCCTGCGCTTCATCGGCTACCTGGGCTGGTTGGGCAAGGGCAACGGCACCATCCTCAGCACCCTCTTTGCACTCCAGGGCGGCCACGTGCGGGCAGGAGGCGGCGACCCTCTCGTCGGGAAGAAGCGCATCAAGGTCCTCATCGACTCACTCCAGAAGGGCGGCCCGAAGGAGGAACGCAAGCTCGGCGTCACGCCGCGCATGATGATCTGGCTGAAGAAGGAGCTTAGCCCCACCCCGCCGTGCCAGGGAGAGAGGGCCACGAGGGGACCTGACTTCGACTCGGTGGTGCTCTGGGGGGCCCTCTGCACGGGCTTCTTCTACCTCTGCCGCGCGAAGGAGATCGTCGACAGCGGAGGCGTCGATGAGCAGATGTGCCTGCGCGGGGTCGATGTGGCATTCCACGACAAAGAAGGAGGTGCTGCAGCTCCTGGAGTAGGCTCGGCAGCCAAGGCCCTGATCACTTTTCGCAAGACCAAGACGGACCAGCGGGCGTTTGGAGCATGCAGGACTCACCACAGGGCCGAGGCGGAGGTCTGCCCGGTGGAGGCCCTGGAGCTCCTCCGCCTCCACGCGCCCGAGCGCTTCCAGGAGGGCTCCGAGGGCCGCCGCCCGCTCTTCCGTTGGGCCTCGGGCCGCATGGTCAAGCGGGAGCAGCTCCAGGCCGCACTGCAGCGAGCCGCTGCGGCGGAGGGCCTGCCGCCGAAGCGCTTCAAGAGCCACTCCCTCCGCATCGGAGGCGCCTCAGCGCTGTGGCACGCGCTGGGCGATGCCGAGGCGGTCAAGAGATGGGGACGCTGGAGCTCGAACGCCTTCCACGGCTACCTCTACGACTCGGAGGAGCAGTCGAGGGGCGTCGCGGCGGCCATGGCCCGCGACGTAGCCACGCTCCACGCGGCATGACGGACGATGGCGGGTGGGCCACCTGGCCAGAGCGTGGCACGGCAGAGGCCGCGCTCAGAGCGGCCAGAGCGAGGCCGCTCAGACGGAGGTGGAGCTGGTCGCACCTCGTGCTGCAAAATGCGGGGTGAGTGACGCTCTCTCCCCTCTTTCTCTCCTCTTCTCCCCTCCGGCCCTGGGGGGCTCTTTCCCCGGGCCTGGCCCTCGTGGGCCCTCTCCCCGGGGCCTCCCCGGTGCCTTTGGGGCGCCTTCCCTCCTTTGCTCCCCTCGGCTAAGGCTTCGCCGCCGCCGCCAGTAGTTAGAAGTTTTGGGCTCGTTAACTCGTTAACTTGCTGAGTTTTGGTAGCGACCAATAACTTGGTGTGGGTGACGCATGCGGGCGGCAGCACTGGGGCCTTCGGCGGAGCTCCTATGGGGCCACGAGGCGTGTGAGGGGTGTGCCGAACTGGGTGTGGGTGACGCATGCGGTCGGCAGCACTGGGGCCTTCGGCGGAGCTCCCTATGGGTCCACGAAATGTGTGAGGGGTGTGCCGAATTCGGTGTGGGTGACGCATGCGGGCGGCAGCACTGGGGCCTTCGGTAGAGATCCCCATGGGACCACGAAACGTGTGAGGGGTGTGCGGGATTGGGTGTGCGTGACGCATGCGGGCCGCAGCACTGGGGCCTTCGGCGGAGCTCCCTATGGGGCCACGAAACGTGTGAGGGGTGTGCCGAATTGTGTGTGTGTGTGCGTGACGCATGCGGGCGGCAGCACTGGGGCCTTCGGCGGAGCTCCCTATGGGGCCACGAAACGTGTGAGGGGTGTGCCGAATTGCGTGTGCGTGACGCATGCGGGCGGGCAGCACTTGGGGCCTTCGGCGGACGCTCCCTATGACGTGAAACGCATGCGGTCGGCGCACTGGGGCCTTGGCGGAGCATGGGTCCACGAATGTGGGGGTGTGCCGAATTCGGTGTGGGTGACGCATGCGGGCGGCAGACTGGGGCCTTCGGCTGAGCTCCTATGGGGCCACGAAACGTGTGAGGGGTTTTGCCGAATTGGATGTGCGTGGAGCATGCGGGCGGCAGCACTGGGGCCTTCGGCAGGGAGCTCCTATGGGGCACGAAAAGTGTGAGGGGATGTGAGCCGAATTGGGTGTGGGTGACGCATGCGGGCGGCGCACTGGCGCCTTCGGCGGAGCTCCTATGGGGCCACGAAACGTGTGAGGGGCGTGCCGAATTGGGCGTGGGTGACGCATGCGGGCGGCAAAGCACTGGGGCCTTCGGCGGAGCTCCTATGGGGCCACGAAGCGTGTGAGGGGCGTGCCGAATTGGGTGTGGGTGACGCATGCGGGCGGCAGCACTGGGGCTTTCGGCGGAGCTCCTATGGGGCCACGAAACGTGTGAGGGGTGTGCCAAATTGGATGTGGGTGACGCATGCGGGCGGCAGCACTGGGGCCTTCGGCGGAGCTCCTATGGGGCCACGAAACGTGTGAGGGGCGTGCCGAATTGGGTGTGGGTGACGCATGCGGGCGGCAGCACTGGGGCCTTCGGCGGAGCTCCTATGGGGCCACGAAACGCTGTACTGGGTGGGTGAAACGCAGGGAGGAGGGGGGAGGAGGGGAAGGAGGAGAGGAGAGGAGAGGAGGAGGAGGAGGAGGAGGAGGAGGAGGAGACGCGGGCCACCGTCTCTTCAAAACGAGGACCCAACACCACAGGATGGTTGGGAAAAAACGAACATCGTCCGAGATCTGGGCTTGGGCTTCCTCAGGTGGCGACGCCCTCCATGCTGTGGCCGCAGACACCCACCACGCCGTTCGCGATGGGCATGATGCCGCCATGGCCCGAGGTCGGGCGGGCCGCAGACCAGGACTTGGCATCGCTCGGACGTGTGCATTTTTTCTCGGCGACGGCCATCGAGGACCATCCTTGATCATTTGGCGAAACAAACACGCACGAAATCGAAAAATACACGAGGAATGGACGTCCGAGCGATGGCGAGAGGGTAGATCACTCCAGAGCGTCCCGCAGCGCTCGCAGAGCGTTCTGGAGCGCTCCGGCACGGCCGCGGCGGGCACGATGCAGCCTCCAGAGCCGCCGGGTCTGCGAGGTCCCCGAGTTGTCCCGGTCCGATCCTGTCCGTGTCCTGGCCTCGTCTCACGTCAAGGGAGGGAAAGACCACCCCGACCCCCACCATTGACGTATTGGGCGGCCCTGGGCGATCACTCAACAGCCTTGCCCTCTGTTCGTGTCCTTCCTGGGGTGCGTGTGCTGAGGGACTTCGCGCGTCGGTTATTCTTGTTTCGACCTCAGGGCGTGCGTTAGCCCAATGTGTGCTCGCCCCTTGCAGCTCCCCTGTAGAACGCAGGGTGTATCGGCCCTCGTTGCAACGCCACCTGCCTCGCATCGAAGGGCTTCGGTGGACAGGCACACGTTGGCCCTGACACATTTTCTGAAGATCAGTGATTTCTCTTTGGTCGTTTCGCTCCATCCGCCAGCCCGTGTTGCATTATTGGTGGTATGTGCTTGTGTGCCCGTGGCGAGCAAGAGAGAGGAGGAGGAGGCGGAGGACCAGTGTGAACCCAAGACGCCAACGATGTTGCAATATCCTTCTTCGCAGGTCCCTTCAAGGAATATAGTTTCACCTACCGTTGGAAGACAATCGTCTGAACAGCTTGAGCCGTGCCGCAAAAATGTCCTCAGAGTTCAACGCAGCGAATCAACGCGGCCGTGCGCCCTGGCGATCTTGAACTGCGCCAGAACACCGTTCCTAGGATGCCAAGACCGCGAATCCACGTGGCTGCTGCGCCCTGGCAGTCCGACATCTACGTCGTGGCAAAACAGTGTTGCTGGGATGCCAGCCATAATAATCCTTGAGCACGCTGTAAACTCCTAAGACGAATGTGCGCGGCGCTGAGGCGAGAGCCACATCTTGAAAAGGAGCCGCCTTCCATCCGTGAGTCTCCTTGCAAGCTTTTACGACGAATGTGCGCGACGCTATGGCGAGAGCCACATGTTAAAAACCACCCGCCCTCCACCCGTAAAAGTCATGCAAAGTCTTAAGACGAACGCGTGCGGCGCGAATGCGAGAGCCACATTTTGAAAGACAACCGCCCACCATCCGTGAAGAAACTCGCGCGCAAGCATTTACCATGAATGTGCGCGGCGCTATGGCGAGAGCCACATGTTGAAAACCACCCGCCCTGCATCCGTGAAACTGGCAAATGTGTACAGCGAATGTGCGCGGCGCGAAGGCGAGAGCCACATTTCGGAAACCGCCCGCCCTTCATCCGTGAAACTCTTGCCAACTTTTGAGACGAATGCGCGCGGTGCTCAGGAAGTCTCAGGCGAAACGCCCGGCCCATCCTACCGACAAGTCTCGGGGTGCGACAGGGATGAGTCATTTATTTGTGTATATATATGTATAAGGAAGAACTGCAGAAGGAGAGAGAAGAGGAGGAGGAGCAGAACGAGTAGGAGGAGGAGGAGGAGGAGGAGGAGGAGAAGGAAAAGGAGGACGAGGAGGAGGAGGAGGAGGAGGAGGAGGAGGAGGAGGAGGAGGAGGAGGAGAGGGAGGAGGAGAGAGGAGGAGGAGAGGAGGAGGAGGAGGAGGAGGAGGAGGAGGAGGAGGAGGAGGAGGAGGAGGAGGAGGAGAGAGGATGAGGAGGAGGAGGAGGAGGAGGAGGAGGCGGACCAGGACCATCGATTATGATGAGGGTGGTTATTGCTGCTCGCTATCACGAGGGCGCGCTCCAGGGGCCGCCGGGCGGCGGAGGCGGCGCGCTCGCCTCGGCGTCCGCGGCGGCCGACGCCCTCTTCGCCGCGGCCGTGGCGGCCACTACCAGACAGCACGCCGCCACCGCCGGAAGCCTCGCTGCGCAGGTACCGCAGGCCTCGCAGGAGCACGCCGACGACCACGACGTCGACCATGACGACCACGACGGTGACGGCGACGAGAACCGCGACGTCCATGACCACGACTCGGAGGAGCAAGAGGTCATGATAACGATGCATCCCAAGATGTCCCAGGTTTCCTGGATCTCCGATATCCCCTACTGCTTCACACCGGCCGCAGAAACGCAGGCCGCTAGATATTCTTGGAAATCTTGGAACGCATCCTGAGCCAATTTGTCATGACATCCTTCTCTCTCTAACGACGGCGGCGCCGACGAAAACCACGACGAAGACGGCGGCCACGTTGACGACGAGGACGACGGGGACGACCGCGACCACGACGGCGACGGCGACGAAAACCACGGCGACCACGACGAAGATGGCAACCACGACTGCGACGACGGCCGCGGCCACGACCGCGACGACCACGGCGGCGGCGACGACCACGACGCTCACGAGCAGGCGGCAGCGCTCAAGGCGCCACTCGGCCCGGGCGCCTCCTGGGCAGGCGCGCAGCCCAGCTGCGGCGGCGAGCCCGGGAGGGCGAGCTGGGACAGCGGCCGTTTTCAGCCACGCGCAAGGGGGGGGCGGGAGGCGGGGGAGGGCTTCTGAGAAGCAGCCTCCTTCGAAGAAGCCTCCCCCCTCCCTCCACCCCCTTGGTGCGCGCCGTCAATGTTGGCCTTGGGGGGAAAGGCCCTCGTGGCCACAGCTGGGCGCAGCTCGGAAAACTGGTGCCGGACGGGCCTGGGGACCGATTCTGAGCTGCCGCTGCCTCAACTCGCCCTGGTCCGAGGACTGGTGAAGAAGAAGAAGAAGAAGAAGAAGAAGAGGAAACGGCTTGAACAGTATGTCTCGGAGCTACGTGCGGATTTTTTGGGTCGGCGCTGTGACCCCCCTGTGGCACCTGCCCTGGCGCGCTCCGCGCGCCAGGGAGGGGTGCAGCGCCGATCCAAGAACTCGGTGCGGACCTCTGGCGGGTCGTGCCCATGCCGTGTGGCTCCGCTTCCCCAGGCGACCCGGCCGCCGCGAGCTCGCAGGGGTCGCTGCTGCACGACGGCAGCGAGCGCTGCAGCCCGTGCGCATGGCACTACAAGCCGCAGGGGTGCCAGCTCGCGGCCGCCTGCCCGTACTGCCACGCGTGCCCGCAGGGCGAGCTCAAGAGGCGCAAGAAGGCCAAGGTCGCGGCGCTGCGCCAGGGCCAGCCTCAGCCCTAGGCTGCCGCCGCTGGAGCGCAGCGGTCAGCATCGCATGCTGGCGGGAACTTTTGGACAGCGTGTCGCTCCGCCGGTTCTGGCCCACCACGCTTCGGTGCGGCATGCTGTCAACTTTCCCATTCCCAAGCTTCCACGTCCCGAGCCTTTCCGAGCCTCCCGCCCCGCGGAGCGGAGCGACACGCCATCCACTCGCAGAGCACAGCGTGTCGCCTGGGCCGCCGTGGCGACGCGATAAGCAAAAGTTCCCGACCGCAACCCATCCCCATCCCCGACATGGCCATGGCATCTCAGCCCCACCAGCCCGTCCTCCCAGGTGGGGGCAGGCCCCGCGAATCCGGCAGGAGCGGGCATACATCCCTACTCATAGGTGGGCAGGCCTGCCAATGGGGCCACGGCCTCGCCAGTGGGGATAGGGACCGGTCGAACGATGCTCAAGTGAGGCCGCATGTAGATTGAGCGGTATTCTCCGCGTCGGTAACGAATTCGCCGGCCGAAGTGTCTGGAAGGCCCTGAAAGGGGGCCGGCATGTTTTGCGTGGTGACCTCTCGGCGAGGGGTCGCGCGGCGCTTCTGAATTTGGAGCCCTTCCCGGAGCGGATGACATGGGGCGCATGACGGTTCTCAAGATGATTGCATGGTATGAGGTGGGGTGTTGGTTAAGGAATATTGTGTTCAGGAGTTTTTCAGACTTTGGAGAATTCCCGCTCTGATAAGGGCGGCGTTGATTTCGAAGGCCAGGCCTCAATTTGTGTTCCACCGGCTGACCCTGGACTCCTTACCCAATAGTTCCTCATCCGATGCCCTGACCGCGTCCGTAGCCATTTTGGCTCAAGGCCATGGAACGCCCGACGACCGCGAGTCGTCCGCGGCGCTCAAAGCGCGAAGGGCTCCTCGCTTTGCGCCAGTGCGACGCAGTTTTGGGCCAGCGCTCGGGTGCGAGGCGGGCGGGCTCGGCGGGATGGTGGCTCCCGCGAAGGGCGGCGCTTCCCTTGGCGCTGGTGCTCGCGGCGCTGGCGGTGGCGGCGGCAGGAGCGGTGCGTACTGGATCTGCCCGTGCGGGCAATGGTCTTACGCGACCAGAGGGTGGTGCTCCAGTTGCCATGCCGTGGCCTCGCCCTGGGCGCGTGTGCGGGGGGCGGCTGCGGGCGACCAACCCGTGCCAGACGCCGAGGGCTTCGTCAGGGCGGGCAAGGGCAAACGGGCGCGCCGCAAGGCCCGTGCCGCAACCGCCTCTTGAGCTGGCCAAGCCTCCGACTCTGGCGGCGGGGGAGACGGCAGCAGCCAGGGCAGCCAAGGAGGCGGCAGCCAGCCGAAGGCTTCCGGCTGTCCGAGCTGGAGCGTGCCATCGCCCACCAGTAGGCCTGCCCCAGCCTCGGAGGTGATGAAGACGCTGTTGTGGCTGAGCGGCTGGCCGCCCTTCGCGCCAAGAGGGAGCAGGCTGCCGCAGCCCAGGCGCAGGACAAGGAGGCCGGCCTGTCTCCAGCGGTTCGCTTGCGCAGGGCTGCCAAGTCGGCCAGGAAGGCTGAGCGCAGGGCGGCAGGAGTTTGCAAGGCGTTCGAGGCGGCGGGCGCAGCGGTGGCAGCAGCAGAGGCGGCAATGCGGGCCGCGGCAGACCAGCTGGACGCTGAGGAGCGCCGTGCTGAGGCGCGAGAGCGGCGTGCTGAGCTGGAGGAGGAGGCAGCTGCAGCGAAGTCCACGCAGGAGCGCATGCAGGTCTCGGGGGACGACATGCATGCTGCGCGCGGGCTGTTCCTTCAGTTGCGGACTCTCCCGACTGCGCACCAGGCGGGCGACTTCGCCGACGCGTGGGAGTCGACCATGCAGCAGTTGCAGGCAGTCGAGGGGCGCTTCGTCGACCGCGAGAGCTCGCCAGCCACCAGAGTTCGCGAGCGATGGGGCGACAGCTGCCCCATCGACGGCGGCGAGATCGGCTCCGACTCGGACCTGGGGATGGCTGGCGGGATGGGGCCAGCTGCCGAACGCGGGCAGGCGGAGCGCCACCCCCCCAGCGTCGGGGCCCTGGCCTCGGGTGCCGAGGAGTGCTGTGCGCGAGCTGGCGGCAGAGGCATGCGACCTGGGTCCTTTGGCGACGGTGCCTGCAGGCAACGCGGCGGCGGCTGCTGGCGCGCAGCCGCGGCTTTAGCCCCAGCAGCAGGCGGCAGGCCGTTGGGAGTGGTCCAGCTGAAGCTAGCCGAGGCGCTCCCCAGGGCGCCGTCGGCAGCCAGCGCGATCACGATCCACGGCTCCACCCGGGCGGAAGCCAGAACGGCGATCGAGCAGATCCGCGACGAGGGCGCCCGGGACGATGTCTTCTCGGTGCAGGAGACACGCTTCACAGGTTCGGCGGCTGCATCCTCAGCGCAGAGCTGGCACGCGAGGAACGGCCTCCAGGCGGCACGTGGCCCTTGCAGGCGCGCGGGGCAGCTGGCGCAGGAGGTCTCGTCGGGAGCGGGGGCGCTGACGGCGAGCTTCAGAGGGGTGGCGAAGATCGAGCAGGGCTTGGGCGACCTCTCGCATCGGGTGATCCTTCGACGAGCCGCCTTCGGGGGCCTGGTGATCGTGGCGGTCAGCGTGTGCCTGGGGCACTCCACGAAGCTGACTGACATCAACCTCGGGCTGCTCGGCATGGTCCAGGAGTTTCTGAACGCTGCCAACGAGCCTCTCATCGTGGCGGACGATTGGAAAATGGAGCCGTTAGATCTGTCGGCGCCATGGCGGCCTCGTTCGATCGGAGGTGCCGCGCTGGAACCCTAGCAGCCGACCTCAACGGCAAGAAGTACGACTACTTCGTGGCGTCGGTTTCGCCGGCGGCGCTCGGGCCCCAGGTCGAGGCACTTCGGCCGACGACGACGTGCCCGCACGTGCCAGCGCGCCTCTCATTCGCGAAGCTTGGCGCCCTGGCCCACGTCTGGGCGCTGAAGTGGAGGTTCGACGTAGCGGAGAAGGTGACGCCTGGCTCCACCCTAGAGGTGCAGCGGCAGGCTCCGCTGCTGGATGCTCGAGGCCTTCCCGATGAAGCAGCGCTCGAGTTGCATGGCGCGGCTGAGAAGCACCTGATCGAGCTGTTCGAGATCCAGGATGGCGCCGCCTACTGCGGCAGGTCACGGGGCGCTCGCAGGGTCCAGAAGCGCTTGAAGGGCCTCCAGCGCACCGAAACGACCAGGAAGGTCAGCTCGCTGACGAGGCTCTGGATGTCCCTGGGGCGACTCACGAGGCAGCTGACGGCGGCCGCGGCGGCGCTGGCTCCGCCGGCTGGACACTGGGCCTACATGGGGCACCTAACGGATGCAGCCCTCGCTCTGGCGCCGGACTTCGCCCAGCGGGGCTGCGACATGTTCACGCCCGAGAGCGCGCGGCTGCTTCTGGGGGAAGTGGAAGCGTCCACGAGCGCTGGCAGCTTCTTCCTTGGCCATCCAGGCAGCCACGGCCAACCGCGCCAAGTCGGACGCCCAGCTTGCGCGGCGCCGCTGGATAGCGTTCGTGGACGACGCCATTGCAGCAGGAGGCAACGGATCGCATGCAGTCAGCAAGCAGCAGCACGAGGATAAATTCTCCGTCCTGGACGAGGGAGGCCCAGCGAGCGCCCCGCCAGTTCCGCTGGTAGGCCAGGCGGCCCTGGACCAGACGCTGAAGGAATGGAAGCAGCTCTGGGTCGACAGGAGGGCCCCCGACTGGCCGCACTTGGACACTTGGAGAAGGACGCAAGAGGACCTCGCCCGCCTGAGAGCTGGGCAGTGATCACGAACCTGCCTGCCATCACTGGGGTGGAGGTGATCGCTGCGGCCAAGGCCTTCCCCAAGAAGACCGCCTTGGGCTGGGGCGGGTCCCACCCTCGCCCGCTGCTGCTCCTGGGCCAGCCTCCCGCGGCCCGCGCGGTGGAGCTGCTGGCTGCTTGGGAGCGAGATCCCAGATCCCCGGGCCTCTTCGCAACGCTGATCGCGTTCCTGGCGAAGCCCATGGGGCTGATGCCCTTCGGGCTGCGATTATGGGGCCGCATTCGGAGGCGCCGTTGCGCCAGATGGAAGACGAAACACAAGCTGCCCGAGATCTGGGGCAGCAGCTCAGACACCAGCTGCGACAGGGCGGCCTACCTTCAAAACCTCTACCTCGGGCGGGCACGCTCGAAGGGCTTCGAGGGGGTGTCCGTCTACTTCGACATTCGCAAGTTCTACGAGTGGATCGACCACCAGCAGCTCCTCGTGGCGGCGAAGGCGAATCACTTCAGCCCAGGCCTGACGAAGGCCCTCTGCGTCGCCCACGCTGGCCCCAGGCGCGCCACGGTGGACGGCGCCGTCAGCGAGGAGATCTGCGCGGCTGGGGCGGCGATCGCAGGCTGCTCCTGCGCGACCATGATGGTTCGTCTGATGATGTGCGACCTTTTGCTTTCTGGTCGCGCGCTCCTCCACGTCGGACGGGCGGTCAACGTGATCGACGATGCGGCGGGGCACGGCATCGGCACGAAGCGGTTCCCGGCGCGCCAGATCAGCCAGTTCGCCACAGGGTCCGCGACCATGCTGCGCGACAAGCGCCTGCCCATCAACTGGAACAAGACGAAGTTGCTGGCGTCGTCGGTCGACCTGCAGGGGAGCCTGCAGGCGCAGGAGGGCTGGCCGCTGCCCTCTGGAGCGCTCGTCTCGGGACATCGCGACCTAGGAGGCGACGCGACGGCGGGGGCCCACCGCAGGGTGACCACGCAAGTGGCGCGTGAGCTTGCAGCCCTGCGGCAGGCGCCTCGCCTCGGACGGATCTTCGGCCCAGGCCTGCGGCAAGCCCGAGCAATGAGGGCGGGGCCAACGGCGAAAGCCCTCTGGGGCTCGGCGACCTCTGGAGCGCCGCCCGGCCGCGCGCGGGCCCCGAGGGCGGCCGCGGCCACGAGCGCAGGGCGGCTGGCCCCAGGAGCAGTGCCCAGTCTCGCGCCGCGGTGCCCCACAGGCGGCCGGCGCCAGGACCACCTGGCCGTTGCGACGGGCATGGCCGCGCAGGATTGCTTGGCGCCCAGCCTCAGGCTCGAGCGCAGCCAGAGGCCATGGGCGGCTGCGCGAGACCCCGCGGCGGCTCTGGTGCTCACCCTGAGGCGCATCGGCTGGCAGCTCACGCAGGATGGCCTCTCCATCATGGACGAGCTGGGCGCGGAGTTCGACGCGCGGCGCTGGTCGCCCGCCTTCCTGGCAGAGCGCGCCCGCGAAGCGACCAGGAGGGCTGCCGCCTTGGAGGGGCACCGCGCGCGCGCCGAGGCGCCCTGGCCGCGGCGGCTACCTCCAGCGTGGAAGCCAGTCAACGAGCTGCTGGACATAAGGGCTGCCTGCGCCGGCTAGCGCCAGCGCCCCACTGGCCCCAGGCCAGGCTCGCCAGGCACAAGACTGATTTCAGCCCCACGTTCGTGCCTCCTGCGCCAGGGAGGAGCAGGAACGATGTTCCACAGCACTTTGAGTGCCCAGCCTGGCAAGCATGGAGACGGGATCGTCTTCCAGCAGATCTGCTGCAGGGAGCCAGCGTGGCACGCAACCTCGGGGATATGTTTGGCGAGCCGTTCGCCCAGGGCCTCCTCGTCGACGCGGCGCCCTTGTCGAAGAGGCCGCGCTGGCAGCCTCGCTGGGAGAGTCAGCAGATAGGATGGGAGAGCCCCATGGCGGTGCTTCCAGGCACGCAG